TGTTTTTGACATCTGAAAATCATGAAAGAATAACTTGTAAATCGTTTATCAGATAACTATGTACCTCCTACTTCGATTATTACGTACCTAATTGCAGAACAACAACAAATGGAATCATTAATAGTACATTGATCTACAAATTTAGAAAAGTGTTAGTTTTCTAGTGAGTGTAAATGTTTGAATTCACGAGTGAGCGCAGCTCACGAGTGGATCAAATTTGCACGAGCATAGAAATTCACTTTTCTTAGGTGTAGATCATGCTATTTTTTCGTGTAGTTGATAACTCTAATTGTAACGTTTTGTTTTGATGTCGAAGAATAATTTATTATAAAATCAAAGTATGTTGAGCATTTGTTGACATGGTAACAAAACATACGAACAAGTAAATAATTTGTGAATAACGCTCATTTAAATTAAGTCAATCAAACGGGAACAATGAAGAAATTTTACAATTGGTATTAGAAGCAGAATCAAGTTTATTACCTAAAAAGTCCAAAGTCAAGTACTTTGGCTGCTTGTTATCAATATTAAATACACCTTTGTCGCCCACCACCAAAATTATGACACTAGCAACGACAGTTTCCAAATTATTTTTGTTACCATAGCATAGGGATTGTCGTACCAACGCAACGTTCCTATGGTAACTTGTTAAGAAGCTATTTTTTGAAAGAACTCGTTCTCTAACTCCATACATATTAAGTGTTTCAGTTTCGGAAGTACGAAAAATATCGTATATACCTTGCCACTGAAGTAGTGGTCTTAATCCCTCAGGTAAATTATGGCCCTCCCTTCGGTCCGGCCATAAACTTTACTTTCGGGATTAAAAGTACTACTTCAGTCCCGCGGTATGTAATATACTATTATTTTTCATTTGCCTATTATATGTCAATTATATCTGTCATATGTGATATATGAAGCAGTCTATTACGCCCAAGGGCATAATGACAGGGCATAATGGATTGTCATCTCATTATGCCCTCAAACGACCTGTCAAATTGATTGACGGAGTTATATTATGTAATAAAAAAGATGGAACTTGATTCGTATGAAGCACTTTAATGTTGGGCAAACAATAATCATGACATTTGATATTGGAAATGCATTCTTTGTAACGATGAAAAATAAAATGTTGTATGCACCTCAGGCATTACTCAATATTTAACCCTCGGGCGACTTACAATCCCTCGGGCCGGAGGCCCTCGGGCTCTGTCGCCCTCGGCATAAATATCT